ATGCTTCAGGACAGGTGCGAACATATCAGAACACCCCTTAATGACAAATGCAGGGATGTTATCAGGACCGACAGATTTGGATGGTTTCAGACGTGCAATGGCTTTAAAAATGTCTGAATCAGAAATAGGTGATAAAGATAGAGATCCCAATGATGATGATGAAAGGGAGGGGAAGACCCCTGGAGGGGGACTATTATAATTGACTGAAAGTGATCAGCAAATGCGTTGGCAACTGCATAGTGGTCTACCAAATGAGTACCATCAACTTTAAGCTGAATAGAAGTAGACTTTTTTTTCCTAACGGACGCCACGTATTTCCAAAATTGCTTGGGTTGTCTTACGGTTCACATTAATAGACTCCAACCATCTAAGTCTGTCGATCTTTATTGTAGCTTTGACTAGTTTACGATAGAAGGAAAAAGTACCGTATAGGCTGGTGGATTTATGCTTCTTAAAGCGCATGTAAAAGTAGTTCTTTATCCTAATGTAATTTCGTAAAGAACTGGAAAACGAGTGAGAGAATTTAGACTTGGTGATGAAACCACGGGGATTGCTTGCTCCGTAGCGTCTTGGACTGCCGCACTGAGTCTGGCGGCAGCAGCGTCTACAGAACTGGTGTCATATACACACGACCAGTCATAATTTGAGAGAATATTATATACAGAGTGGGCGCAGAAATTTCCTTTTTGTGAAGACGCATTGTGAAGGGAGGGGAGGTCGCAGAAAAGTGGGGATAGGCTCGGCGAACGCAGCAGTCGCGGAAGTTTCTGTCTAATACCCCTCAGTAGGAAACATGAGGTGGACGAGTGAGCAGCGTGCGTTTGCAGTCGAAGCCTATTTTTCGAACAACCAATCCTACTGGCGGTGCAGCGTGCGTTCCATACTCACTTCGGAATTAAGCCAAGAGGTCCGGTTCCTGACCGGAAATCGATTGTTTTGTAGGTAGAGAACATTATGACAACCGGGAGTGTGGTTAAAAATCATCAGGACGACAACGGACCGTTACGACGCCAGAAAATGTGGAGGCAGTTCGACAGGCGATTTTGAGTTCTCTAAGACGCTCCGCTCGCAAACATGCAGTCTCCCTAGACATATCCAATCGTTCAATGCGCCGAATTCCTCACGAACATCTTCATTTCCATCCTTATAAGATGGTTGTTGTGCAAGAATTGTCACCACGTGATTTCCAGAACCGAGCAACGGCGTGGAAACGTTATTGGAAACTTCACCCCCTGACGCACTTGTTTTCTTCAGTGATGAGGCACATTTTCACCTATCCGGATATGTCAACAAGCAGAATATGCGCTATTGGAGTGGTAACAATCCCAGAGAGCTCCATGAGAGGCCACTTCACAGTGATAATGTGACAGTA